CCACTAACAACTAATTAATTTCTCTCTTTAATTAAAGTGTGGTGCATGTAACTATGTAAGGGTTGATTGTGATGGCAAATTGCCAAGACACACCTTAATTTGATTGATTTGACACTCTACAAATGTTCATTTCATAAAATTTGCTTTGGCTTTCAAGTGGCCAACTTGTATAATTTTTTACTTTAAAAAAAAAATAAAATATTGCAATTTATGTTAAGTTTATTTCATATATTTCAAAAATTACAAATTACTCCTTCATCACTAATTATTATTTAAACAAATAAATCTTTACTCCCCAAAGAAAACAATTTAATGTTCAAATTATTATGATATATTAATATTATAGTCATTAGTTTGATTATAAAAAACTATAATTTTTATAGCAAATGGGTTCCTATTTGTCTTTATTTCTTAAAAAAAATTAAATAAATAAAATTTTCAAATATACAGACTTGGGGGAAGACTTTCTTCATAAAGGTCCTGTGAGTTCTGGACATATCATTTCTATAATCACAAAAATGGAATTGTGTAAAGTTAGATGGCAGAATGTGGAATCATTCAAAGTTTTGGACAGCAGTGCAATTTTTGTTTTATAGCATCGGATGATTTGATATTTTGTCATTACATGCTTTTGTGGGCAGCATTGCCAAACAACATAAAAGAAAGATTTTTAGTCATTGTTTTGTTAGGTGGTATAATAATTAGATTACTAGTAAAACGCACGTGTATTATACGGGTGCTTGCTAATTTTTTTTTCTTAAAATTTAAAAAAAATGAAAAAAATAGTTTGAAAATTTAAATACCTTTTATAAGAATATATATTATTATATATTTATTATGACACTTTTTATTTGTCCAACTTACTTGTGTTATATTATACTAATTTTTTTAACTTACAATATATAACTACATTACATATAAATATATCAATTGAGAAATAATTTTATTTTTCTAATGAATTTTAATAAATATTATTATTTTTTATTATTATAAAGATAAATATAATTTATTTATTTCATATATACAATATGGATGTCAAATCGAAGATCATCAAAAAATGATTAATTTGATATATTATATATGTAAACCGATAAGAAATACAAAAGTTATCAACTTTTAAAATACATTTATAATTCAATAGCTTATTGAATGAGATATATTAGTCACTTAGTGTCTCGCTATGTAAAATTACAAAGAATTAAAGGGGTATATTAGTAAAAGTGATATTAAAGTACCTACGAAATCTCCTCGGATTCGTCTTTCCAAGAAGATCTTTCATTGCAACGGGGGAAAGAATACTAAGGAATAGCTTGAACTAGACCCAACTCTTTTACCCCAAAAAATGCCAGTTCGCCCATCAGTCTTCATCGCAGGTTCGCGGCCACCCTCTTCGCCAACCATTTGTTCTGTTCGCTCGCTGAGAAAAATGTCAGTTAGGGCCTTGAACATAGTCCTTTCAGGCAGTGTCCGTTAGCTAAATAATATTTATGGAATACCCGAACCTAGATTATGAATTATTAATATATCAATATTATTTATCCAAACCTTATTACGATGCATGATTTTTCGCCAAATAAGATTCTGAAGCACCAGAAGCAGCCACGTGCTCAGCGCATTTGGGAATTATATATAGGGAGGATTATATTTTATTTTAAAAAAAATAAATATACATATTTTAATATACAAATGTTATAGATAAAATTTAATATTGACAATTATATAATATTTCATAATATATATATTATTAAAAGAAAATTATTGTACTCGAAAGATCTAACAACAACGCTTGTGAGAAATATATAATACATTCCTAATAGATATGTGTGTAAAGATTTTTTTTCTATAATGTCTACACTAGTACAACACCCGTGTATTACACGGATGTTTGTTAAAAAATTATTCTTAAATTTTAAAATTAATGAGAAAAATATATTAAAGTTAGTTTACTTTTTTACAAAAAAAATATATTACTATATATTTTAGAATGATATGTGTTACTTATGACTTACATTGTTATATTATATTAGTTTTTATAACTTATATCATATAACTACTTGAAATATAAATATATTAATTGATAAATAATTTTATTTTTCTAATTAATATTAAAAATAATTTTATTATTGTTATAAAGATAAATATAAATTATTTTTTCTATACATACAATATGGATGTTAAATCGAAGCTCATCAAAAGAAGATTAATTTGATATATTACATATGTAAACTGATAAAAAAAACAAAAGTTATTAACTTTTAAAATATATATACAATTCAATAGTTATAATAAGGAATGATATTAAAATGCAATTAATACATGTAATATGACCATAAATAATCAACATATTTATGGTAATCCGAACCTAATTATTTTTGGTTTGAAATTAAATTAAAATTTACCCAAGCCTAATAATGAAGCATGTAATTTTGCCACATATGATTCCGAAACACCAGAAGCAGCCACGTAGGCTCAGCGCATGTTGGATTAATATATAGAGGAGATATACAACTATGAATCATGTATAGTGATATTGGTACGTAGGGATGTAAATGTGTTGGGTCGGGCAAACTCAAACCCAACCCGTATATAATTTACCCTACCTGATGTGTTCCTGTACCTCGAACCGGTCTTCCTCCGATCCTCAACCGCTTGCTCTCTAAAGACCTGCAAATACGCCGAGAGGTGTTCCCGGCGTTAAATCTCCGGCACCCAAGTCAGTAGAGGATAGAAAAAAGTTGTATGTAATTGTAAGTAATATTAGAGTTTGTAGATTGTGATTAACATTACCTTATTCATCGTTTTCCCTATTTATATTTAATTATTAGCTACCGCCGTACGCTTCATTCTTCGTCCGTCAGATCGTCTGTTCCTTTTCGATCCTGAACCTACACGTGTCCCTTGTGGACTAGTTGTCATATTAGCTCGGCTCTCAGTCTAATGCAGGTGCCCCTACATTGCATGATCTTAAGCTAATTGACATTCATCATATTTTCATGCATTATGAGTGATATAGTGTGATGTTTAACCGTG